GAAACTTGACCCATGAGCCAAGTCTTGACCTTTAACCCCAGTGATCCCTGCTGCTCTTTCCTGGCACCGCAACCAACAGCACAAACAGACTGCCAACGCCCAGGGACTCTGGTTCTGCCCAATGCTGACTTACATTTTAAAGGAAGATTCCAGTCACCCCTTAAAAAGAAAGCAATACCTCCACCCGGAAGTGGATTTGTAGACATATTGGGGTGATTTGCACCTCGCGGTGTTTTATGAAGGGAAGTCTACGAAGGTTGAATCGCTGTCGGTGTGAAGACGGATAATGTGTGTAAATAATACCCCCAAAAAAAAGAAACTTCTGCTGATGAAAACACAGAGTCTGCCAGCGGGGATTTCCGCGCCGCCTGCCTGGCCGCTTCTACTTTCCATTGGTTTCCGAGTCGCTGATCCTGAACCAGCATGTAGCAAGTAAAGTCAAGGTGAACGGCTGATCTGCATCCTCTTCCCAGAGTAATGAATATAGTATTAGAGGCGGTGGATCAGCATCTGTATAGAGTATGAGGTGTGGGGATGCGAGGTGAATGGGACAAACCACATGAGAGGATCCTCCTCTGGCTGCCTAAGTATACAGGTGGCCAATGGGTGTAAAGGAACGCACACGCGTGTAGTGTTGGTGTGTGGTGGGCAAGAGTCTGAAGGTGCTCAGATGGGCAGAATTTTGCTTTGTTTATTTACAGGATACAAGTCAGGCCAACGTGTTTCGGGGATTTTTCGGGGCACCCGCTTCTTCAGGACTGGAGCAGTCTCCAAATGGTGTCTGCGTGCTAGGAACAGAGACGCTCTCCAAGCAGATCCAGGGCATCAATAAACCCAGCTCTCCAACTGGACCAAAACCAGCAGAGCTCTGAAGAAGGAGGTTTATAAGATTATTATTACATAGTATTTATAGAGCGCAGTGTGCGCAGCGCTTTACAATGTAAGGAAGACATTACAGTCACAATACAAATCAAGACAAGATGGTAAGGAGGGCCCTGCCCCTGAGGGCTTACAATCTAAAAGGGGAGGGGCCAGTGATACATGAGGAGGGAGCTGTGAATTGTGAATTGTCTGAGCGGTCAGGTTGAGGCGGGATCGGCTTCCCTGAAGAGATGAGTCTTAAGGGATCGCCTAAAGGCAGTCAAGGTGGGAGATAGACGGACAGGTCGGGGTAAAGAATTCCAGAGGATGGGAGAGACTCTAGAGAAGTCCTGGAGGCGAGTATGGGAGGAGATGATGACGGAGCTGGAAAGCAGGAGGTCTTGGGAAGAGCGGAGGGGACGGTTAGGGTGATACTTTGAGACAAGGTTGGAGATCTAGCCGGGGGCGGAGTTGTGGAGCTTTATAGGTGATTGTTAATATTTTGAATTTTATCCTTTGGGCGAGTGGAGGCCAGTGGTTAGGGAATGGCAGAGGGGGGCGGGGGATGGAAGCCAGTGGAGGGATTGGCAGAGGGAGGTTGCAGACACTGAGCGGTTAGTTAGGTGAATGAGTCTAGCAGCTCCACTCATGATAGACTGAAGGGGGAGGAGCCTGTGTAGAGGTCGGCCAATGAGGAGGGAGTTGCAGTAGTCAAGACGAGAGATAATAAGGGAGTGGATGAGTAATTTAGCTAATTTAGCTTAGTGTCTTTGGTGAGGATGTTGGAAGATGTGTTGGTTGTACTTGATTTCATGTTACTGCTGGTCCCGGACCGGTCTGTGATCGGGTCTTGCGGACAGTCTCTGGAGTTTGACACACAGCCGCAGATTGGAGCAACAACTGCTACAGTCACTGATTGGACCAAAAACTAATCATTTTCGAGCCCCCCTGAAGAAGTGGGTTCTCCTAAACCCCCCGGAGCATGTTGGCGAGACCCGTATTTGCTGTACTAGTAAGGTAATAAATGCTTCAGCTTTGTGACGACTCCGCGCTCCTCACCCACCAAACACTGAAGTGCGTCAGCGTGGCAGCCAGGCAGCCGGCATTGTCAGAAGACCAGCGGCAGACTCCATATATTTGTCAGTACAGGTTCCCTTTGAATGTTTTACTCCTCTATATGTCTTACAATGTATAAAGAATTTGATGTCGGAGTTGGAGAATGTTCCTCGTCTCAGGTGGAGAAGAAATGCTGAATAAGATGTATTATCGCTCTGCACTCTACCGGCACAAGCGTGCTATAAGATTACCGTGTGTTCAATCTCTTCAGTGCTGTTAATCATGTGATCACAGCGGCTCAGCGAATCAGAGGCTTAATAACATGTGACTTTACAGCGGCTGCGGAAACTATAAGTCCCAGCAGGTCAAGCGGCACGCTGGGTTCCGTAGTTCCGCACCCGCTGGAGGGCCACTTTGTGTCTGAGCTGGGGGTGAAATGCTGAAGACCCCCCCCCCCCCCAGAAGATCAGAGACAGCGTCTCCAACAATTTAGGTGTAACATTCTCTGGCAGCACCCGGTACCATAACATTGCCATGGACAATAACATCCTATAATGTGCGGGCGTCCAATCAGATTGGAGCTTTTGTTACACACTTGTGTGGGTTATCGGATGTTGGAGCCATGTCCTTCGAGCTGTAAAATTGGGATCAATCTACAGGGTGCTGTAATGGGCACTGACAGCATCCCTCCAGACAATCTACAGGGTGCTGTAATGGGCACTGACAGCATCCCTCCAGACAATCTACAGGGTGCTGTAATGGGCACTGACAGCATCCCTCCAGACAATCTACAGGGTGCTGTAATGGGCACTGACAGCATCCCTCCAGACAATCTACAGGGTGCTGTAATGGGCACTGACAGCATCCCTCCAGACAATCTACTGGGTGCTGTAATGGGCACTGACAGCATCCCTCCAGACAATCTACAGGGTGCTGTAATGGGCACGGACAGCATCCCTCCAGATCTGTATATTGCAGGGGGTAGCCAAACCTCCGCCCTCTCGCCATTCCATGAGGCCGCATGTGTCAGACTCAAGGCCCAGGGGCCGAAGCCGGCCCACCGGGCCATTTCCTAGACTTCTACTTTTAGATCTCGGTATTAAGTTATTTACTAAAACCCGTGATAATGGAACGCAGGGACAATTGTGATAAAGATTCGATACATTTATATTGTCTTAGGGCTCAGTCACACTGACTGAGCCGGCTCACTTTTTAGTGGGGCAGGAGGGGGCGTGGCGGGCCACTCAAGTGAATGGCGCCGTAGCCACGCCCTCCGGCCGCAATGCGATCCGCCTCACAGTATCGCAAAGCACATTGTGCATCCGGTCCTGTGGGGTGCGTTCAAAATGGTGCATGTAGCATTTTGATCGCACCGCACAGGATCAGACCGCAGGCACGGGACGTGACTTGCGAGCCCGCGCGGCGGATCGCATTGCGGCCGGAGGGCGTGGCTACTGCGCCACGCCCCCTCCTGCCCCACTAAAAAGTGTGCGAGGCAGTGCGTTCCGGCCAAAATCGGCACGGAACGCACAGCATCTAGTGTGACTGAGCCCTTACAGGCCCTTTTGAGGGAAACCATAATGTTGATGCGGCCCACAATTAAATTGAGTTTGACGCCCCTACATTAGGCATTGAAGACTGTGGCAGCCACAGCTGGAGGGCCGACGTTTGGCTACCCCCGGTACATTGTATGTGCGTAGGTGACTCTCTGTCATTAAACCCCGCCCATGTTCTTCTCCGGTTGGGTTCCAAGCATTCCGGTTTGCTGTTCATAACTGCTAACACTTGCATGGCGTGTGTGCGGCCTGAAATGTCTTCAGATGTTCTTTATTAGGATCCCTGCCCTGTGCGGAACGCCGGCCTAGCTGCCCCTCTCATTTCAGTTCTGCCGTTTTGATTGGTGCGTTTTTTGGTACAACAGGAAGTCATGCTCTTGGCACACTCTCCGCATGAGGAAACGGGACGGCAAGGAGCCCAACGGCCAGTGTAAAAGCGTGGAGGGTCTGGGCAGCAAGGTGAAAGTGAGTAAGGTGCTAGATCACCCGACGCGGCGCGCGTCCTGCGGGACGCAGGTGTTATCGCATTTGTTTTGTTGTTTTCTTATTTCATTTCCGCAGGAGTTTGCATGGCGCTCATCTGGCACTGTTGTTTAATTTTGATATTTTGCATCCGGTACGAGCAGCCGACTCCGCTCTGCATGCCGATCGGCCTGTCCGCTGACATTCCGGGTTTAACGTCCAGGTCTAGAGATAAAACCTGATACAGAATGATTGTCCCTGTAGTGCGGGGGGGAGGGGCTCAAACCGCCGGCCCTCCAGCTGTGGGGTGAAACTACAAATCCCGTGATGCATCTCTCTCTCCGGGAGTCGTGGCTGTGAGAATCTTGCAATGCCTCGTGGGATTTGTAGTTCCACCCCACAGCTGGAGGGCCGGAGGTTTGAGACCCCTGCTGTAGTGTATGGATGTCTGAGGGCCAGGCGCAGTTTACATCAATATAAAATAATTAGCATATGCAAATATGTGACTCCTCCCCCCCTTCTAATGGCTCTCCATCCAATAGCTGGACACAACTCAGAGTTATACTTTTTTTTTTGTGACGGATATTCTAAAAATAAAGATGTTTTGCAGCTTCAGCGTCCGATGAAAGTTCTCCGATCCCCAAGCCGTGTGCTCCGGGAGAGAGTCACCGCTTCACTTCCCGCCTCTAATACATGGTCTGGGGGTCTGAGAATGGCGGCCTTTGTCTGACGCATCTCACAAAAACCCTATTTAGCGTTGTGACAGGTTCCCTTTTTAAAGGAGAACTATGGGGTTAAGGCTTTTCCCCATAGTTCTCGTTAGGGTCGCGGGAGGACACAAACTAGCGTCCTCCCGTCACCCTAAGCTCGGTATATAGGGAGCTACAGCTCGCGGTATACTGAGACGCCGCAGCAGATCCCGACATCGATGTCTGGATCCGCCCAGCTGCGTGAGTGACAGCTGGCGCTGCCTATCTAGAGGCAGAAGCTGTACACTCCCCCGTCCGTTCCGCCAATCAGCGCTGGTGGCCGACTGTCCTGGATTTGTCCCGTATCTTGGACCTCAGTCCTGATTAAGCCATGTCTCGGGAGATGGCTCAAGGTCACAGTGTCACCTTTACTTCACCACATGCTTTACAACTCAATAAGGAATTCATTATGGTGATCCTGCCAGTAACACACCTCCTGTCCTGCGGTGACAACACTCACATAGGGGCCGAATTGTCCTATATATTGTCCTGTATCTTGGACCTCTTGCTGCACATGCTCAACAAATCATTAAGGAATTCAGTATGGTGATCTGAAGCATGAGTGGGCGTGGCCTGTAATTAGGGGTGGGAGGGGGTGCAGCCACCACATCTAAGGACTGGAAGACGGGGGGGGGAGAGGCGCACCCACCACATCTAAAGACTGGAAGACAGGGGAGGAGAGGTGCAGCCATCCCATCTAAGGACTGGAAGACGGGGGGGGGAGAGGCGCACCCACCACATCTAAGGACTGGAAGACGGGGGGGAGAGGTGCAGCCATCCCATCTAAGGACTGGAAGACGGGGGGGAGAGGTGCAGCCATCCCATCTAAGGACTGGAAGACTGGGGGGTAGAGGCGCGCACCCACCACGTCTAAGGACTGGAAGGTATGGGGGAGAGGTGCAGCCATCCCATCTAAGGACTGGAAGGTAGGAGGGAGAGGTGCAGCCACCACGTCTAAGGACTGGAAGACGGGTGGGAGAGGTGCAGCCATCCCATCTAAGGACTGGAAGGTATGGGGGAGAGGTGCAGTCACCACGTCTAAGGACAGGTAAGCTGCAATATATGACATTTGGGTTTAGATATCCTTTAGGTTCTGCATTGTGTAGGATGTCAGCTGCCCTGATAAAGGTTCTCTGCAGGTATCGGGGTTCAGGTGTAGGTTGTAGAAGTCCCTGGTCTCGTGTCTGCATCACTCGTCATTCTCTGTCCCCCTCTGTGTCCCGATCGGTCCATGTCACAGTGGTGCAGATTGTCACCGGCCTCCCCTCGTGTGTCCTCCACTAACTGCAGCCTGTTGAAGTGAAGAGCTTGTTTGCCATTTTTGAAGTTTGTCCGCCAAAACGTTCCATTAACTGTCCTGCGCATGTGCTTGTGTGTGAGTGTGTCCGTGTGCTGGGCGCATGGGATGTTACCGCTTGTTCCGCCAAAGTCCTCCCCGTCCTCTGCAGCATCCAGCATCGTGCATGTCAAACATGTTTGTTCCAGCCAGTCCCGACTGAAAAAAAATAATTGGGATAGAAATGAATTTTTCGCCTGCAGGAAGTTACTGCCGAAGCATTTCCTGCGAAATCCCATAAATAACGGGGCCAAAGGTTATTTCTCTGACGCAGTGTATCCCCCTCGGTCTGTCCTATCTCCTCGTAGTCCAGCATACATCTCTGAATCACTGGACCCAAAATGGTCGTTCTAATGACGTCTAGAAATCCCATAGCACCAAAAATGTCAAAATGTTCTCAAAGAAATGATGAATCTCGAGTCCAAAAACCAACCTACCCAACAAGGGGTCCAGTCATGGAGGACCAGTGAGGTATGAGATGGGAAAATGCCTTCGACCCATCTGTGAATGGGCAGAACGTTTGTCTGTTCTATCCTGGAAGGAACCCGACAGCCTCCATTGTGACCCTTCCGAGTACCCATTACAGGCATCAGTCAGGGTGGGAATAATGGAGCTGCCATTGCTGACTTGTTTTGGGGGCGCATGCTCCAGGTCCATTATCTTTCCATCGCTGCTGGGTACACCACTGACCTGGAACAAGCGTGTTCTTATCGGGTGTCACCCAACCTGTGTGCTCCTTCCTGATTCTTGGCAGCCCTGCAACCTCATAACAAGCCAGCAGTGGTGGAGCTCATATATCTGTCCTGACAGGTCCATGGAGTCTGGTGGTCATAGTGAGCCCCTGGCTTCATACATCTCTGGGAAAATAAAATGGAGAGATCTCCCCCACCATAGTTCCCGGCTCTGTTCCTGCTCGTCCTGAAACAAAGAGACCAAATGTATCACTTGTAGTACAAAGTACAGATATGTCATTCAATCTCCAGCTCTTCTCTTTGGAGACTATGACATTCCTGCCTAGATTATAATGCTGCAACATTTTCCATTCTCCATGATATAAGATTGGGGAAATGGTGGGAGACCCTCATAATGGGCACAGCGGGGGTACAGACCCGGGAACTCAGCACAGGGGTGGTGGGAGCTCCTCATAATGGGCACAGCGGGTGTACAGACCCGGGAACTCAGCACAGGGATGGTGGGAGCTCCTCATAATGGGCACAGCGGGTGTACAGACCCGGGAACTCAGCACAGGGATGGGAGGAGCTCCTCATAATGGGCACAGCGGGTGTACAGACCCGGGAACTCAGCACAGGGGTGGGGGGAGCCCCTCATAATGGGCACAGCCGGTGTACAGACCCGGGAACTCAGCACAGGGATGGTGGGGGCCCCTCATAATGGGCACAGCGGGTGTGCAGAAATGGTACCTCCTAGTCACCTAATACTGAACTCTGACCAGCAACACCCAGAGAGCAGATCTAGGTGATAGTTTCCATCCATTCATACACAACTGTCACCATTGTTATATTACCAACCTAACTGTGTCTTCACCCAAAAATAGTGTCAGATTTCAGGGCCGGGACGTCTAATATGTGTCCTAGGCCCCGCCTGATACCTCAATATCTAAACTCTCCAAAATCCTCTCACATTTTAGAGTCATTAAAGTCTTTTCTAGATAATAAACATAACCGGACGATGAATCTTCTACTGCAGCAGTGAGGTAGAAAGAGACCACAGCCATGGGGCCCGGTGGTGGCTCTTCCCTCCTCTCCCCCTTTAGTCCCTATGGTGCCACATTCCCAGCCTGGAGATGCCACGGACTCTTCTATATTAAAGGAGAACTATGAGGGGGGAGGGGGGGGAGTGCTTTTCACTCACCTCATAGTTCTAGCCGACCTGCGAAAATGAGACTGTCACAGGTCGGCTCAGTAGATCGGGAGGTGAGCGAACACATACCGGCGCCCGCTCACCTCTCGATCCTGTCACAGCTCTCTGCCGTGACAGGGGGAGGGGCTGGAATTCCCCGCTCCGATCCTCCAGCGCTGACTGGCGGAACGGACGGGGGAGGGGGCGGGCACAGCTGGCTCTGCCTCTAGATAGGCAGAGCCAGCTGTCACTCACGCAGCTGGGCGGATCCAGACATCTATGTCGGGATCTGCTGCGGCGTCTCAGTATACCGCGAGCTGTAGCTCCCTATATACTGAGCCTAGGGTGACGGGAGGACGCTAGTTTGTGTCCTCCCGTTACCCTAAGGAGAACTATGGGGAAAAGCCCTGACCCCATAGTTCTCCTTTAAATCATGAAACGTGTTCTCATGCGATGCAATCAAATCCTTTTTTAGGAACAATGGTTACATAGTATTTGAGATTGAACAAAGACACAAGTCCATCAAGTCCAACCTTTTGCGTGTATGCATTTAATGTTTTTTCAATTCATTTTAAAACTGCTCATTTTTTGGAAACGTTAGATATGCGCGTCCATGGTGTGTACAGGACTGTCATTGTGGGTGATATTTATTAGAGTGGAGACGCTGAGCTTTTAGAAATCGGTGCAAATAAAGAAAACAAAATCTCGGCCACTTTGATTACTGTTGTTACATTTTTGCCGTCTCATCTTTCCGATGGCGGAATAAGTTGGACTGGAACCGACATACAAAAATGGATCGAGCATTTGTCAGTCTCTATAAATGTCTTTCAATTGGCAGCTCCGTCCAGTCCTGGCTGCTGAGTTGATGGGAAATTTGGTAAAATTTTGAACAATTTTGAGACACGAAAAGGCGTCCTTCACTTTTTCTAAATGTCGCCCTTTGCGTTCAGTGTTTGCGTGTCATGTTGTTAAATGTGTTGGAGGAATTTCCTAGGTGAGGCCCCTGTGTTGTCCCCCCCCTATTCCCGCTCCATAGTTGTCAGTAGGGCAGGATATAAAAGTCGTTGCGTCATGAGAGGACGCTCATCATAGAAGTGCGTTGGATTGGATGATGTGTTGGATTGATGCATCTTACACACTGATCCTGATCAGGGCCAGATTTACTCTCTCTGCTGCCCCAAGACCAGGTTCCTCAATGTGCCCCCCTTACCCGCCAAACCCCAATGGAGAATGGCAGACCTGCAGGCTGCATACAAGTTGATCTTGGCGACATCGTACAAAACAAGCGGTGGCTTCCGCTGCTGTACTTTTAGCTCTGCTCGCCCAAAGCCGGGCTAAATGTAGAAAACAATTACCCGCCCGGCGCCCGGAACTGCATGTCCTAGGCATCGGGATATAGGAATGCAACACTCCTGCTGCCCCTCTACTCCCTGCTGCCCCTCTACTCCCCGCTGCCCCTCTACTCCCCGCTGCCCCTCTACTCCCCGCTGCCCCTCTACTCCCTGCTGCCCCAGGGCTGGGCCTTGGTTGGCCTTGTGGGAAATCCGGCCCGGATCCTGATCCCACACATGTAATATATCATTCATTGACACCGCTATGAGGGAGTATTCAGCGCTCATTATGTTGGAAGGGTAGAGCGCCCTGCCTGGTGACTCTACTTTATAAGTAACCTGCCTGCACAACAACGTTGGTCATTTTCATAGACGAAGCTCTAAGTACGATCTCATACACTTATTTACAATTTCCGGAAAATTTGTCGTCTTCACAAATGATGACAACCAGTTGGAAGTCTGTGTCCCCCACATGGAGCGGTATAACCCTTCCCCCGACCTACTTTGCTCACAATGGCGGCCATCGCACAGAGCGTATTACTCTTCTGAGGCTTTGGGTGAGGACGGAGCTGCTGGACAATGATTGACATCCCCGGAGCGAGTGGGGTAAAAAATCTTCACACATTTCCCTGACCTCAGGTGTCTGTCAGTGCAGAGGAAGTGCTGCCATTATTAGGGGCAATGTGCGTGGTTTTGCCCCCTTGTGTTATGTTGTCGGGGCAAATACGTGACCGGTGACGAGTTCCAACACGTTGTCCCAGCAAAAGGCTGAAAATTCTGGTTAAATTGCAGCTTAAAACTCTTCAAATGTAGAGCAAAAACAACATAATTGTGATGTAAATCCGGATCACACTCCTAGAAATCTTATCTGTGTGTATTCAATGGCTTCCATTCTGCCCCTCCTTCCGTCTGAAGAAAGCTGGGTCCTAGAGAGCAGGGTTCTGAGTCCCACTCTGTAGAGTCCCATTCTCTGGAACCCAACTGTCTTCAGAGTCCTGCTCGCTAGAGTCGCACCTTCTAGATTCCTGCCTCCTAGAACCCCTCCCCCAAGATTCCTGCGTCCTAGAACCCCTCCCCCTAGATTCCTGCTTCCTAGAACCCCTCCCTCTAGATTCCTGCCTCCTAGAACCCCTCCTTCTCGATTCTTGCTTCCTAGAACCCCTCCCTCTAGATTCCTGCCTCCTAGAACCCCTCCTTCTCGATTCTTGCTTCCTAGAACCCCTCCCTCTAGATTCCTGCCTCCTAGAACCCCTCCTTCTCGATTCTTGCTTCCTAGAACCCCTCCCTCTAGATTCCTGCCTCCTAGAACCCCTCCTTCTCGATTCTTGCTTCCTAGAACCCCTCCCTCTAGATTCCTGCCTCCTAGAACCCCTCCTTCTCGATTCTTGCTTCCTAGAACCCCTCCCTCTAGATTCCTGCCTCCTAGAACCCCTCCTTCTCGATTCTTGCTTCCTAGAACCCCTCCCTCTAGATTCCTGCCTCCTAGAACCCCTCCTTCTCGATTCTTGCTTCCTAGAACCCCTCCCTCTAGATTCCTGCCTCCTAGAACCCCTCCTTCTCGATTCTTGCTTCCTAGAACCCCTCCCTCTAGATTCCTGCCTCCTAGAACCCCTCCTTCTCGATTCTTGCTTCCTAGAACCCCTCCCTCTAGATTCCTGCCTCCTAGAACCCCTCCTTCTCGATTCTTGCTTCCTAGAACCCCTCCCTCTAGATTCCTGCCTCCTAGAACCCCTCCTTCTCGATTCTTGCTTCCTAGAACCCCTCCCTCTAGATTCCTGCCTCCTAGAACCCCTCCTTCTCGATTCTTGCTTCCTAGAACCCCTCCCTCTAGATTCCTGCCTCCTAGAACCCCTCCTTCTCGATTCTTGCTTCCTAGAACCCCTCCCTCTAGATTCCTGCCTCCTAGAACCCCTCCTTCTCGATTCTTGCTTCCTAGAACCCCTCCCTCTAGATTCCTGCCTCCTAGAACCCCTCCTTCTCGATTCTTGCTTCCTAGAACCCCTCCCTCTAGATTCCTGCCTCCTAGAACCCCTCCTTCTCGATTCTTGCTTCCTAGAACCCCTCCCTCTAGATTCCTGCCTCCTAGAACCCCTCCTTCTCGATTCTTGCTTCCTAGAACCCCTCCCTCTAGATTCCTGCCTCCTAGAACCCCTCCTTCTCGATTCTTGCTTCCTAGAACCCCTCCCTCTAGATTCCTGCCTCCTAGAACCCCTCCTTCTCGATTCTTGCTTCCTAGAACCCCTCCCTCTAGATTCCTGCCTCCTAGAACCCCTCCTTCTCGATTCTTGCTTCCTAGAACCCCTCCCTCTAGATTCCTGCCTCCTAGAACCCCTCCTTCTCGATTCTTGCTTCCTAGAACCCCTCCCTCTAGATTCCTGCCTCCTAGAACCCCTCCTTCTCGATTCTTGCTTCCTAGAACCCCTCCCTCTAGATTCCTGCCTCCTAGAACCCCTCCTTCTCGATTCTTGCTTCCTAGAACCCCTCCCTCTAGATTCCTGCCTCCTAGAACCCCTCCTTCTCGATTCTTGCTTCCTAGAACCCCTCCCTCTAGATTCCTGCCTCCTAGAACCCCTCCTTCTCGATTCTTGCTTCCTAGAACCCCTCCCTCTAGATTCCTGCCTCCTAGAACCCCTCCTTCTCGATTCTTGCTTCCTAGAACCCCTCCCTCTAGATTCCTGCCTCCTAGAACCCCTCCTTCTCGATTCTTGCTTCCTAGAACCCCTCCCTCTAGATTCCTGCCTCCTAGAACCCCTCCTTCTCGATTCTTGCTTCCTAGAACCCCTCCCTCTAGATTCCTGCCTCCTAGAACCCCTCCTTCTCGATTCTTGCTTCCTAGAACCCCTCCCTCTAGATTCCTGCCTCCTAGAACCCCTCCTTCTCGATTCTTGCTTCCTAGAACCCCTCCCTCTAGATTCCTGCCTCCTAGAACCCCTCCTTCTAGATTCCTGCCTCCTAGAACCCTGCTCTTTATATCCCGACTGTCTAGAGTCCCTCTGTCCAGCACCTAGCTCTCTTCAGAGTCCCACTCTCTTGAGGCCTGCATTCTAGAATACAGCTCTCTTCATAGTTCTGCTCTCTAGAACCTCCGCTCTCTAGAATTCGGCCATCACCTCTCTGCTGCAGAGGAGTTGTGGAATCTCTTTGACACACTCTGTTACAATGTATTACAAGTCATAAATTCTGGTGACCATGAAAACAGATCCTTATAACCTCAGTCCTGGTCTGCACCTGCATCATTTCTGGTTTGGAGTTGACAGTTGGCATTCATAAAACTGCTGTGCGTCCGTACAGCCATAAAATGTGAACATTCCCTATGAGGGCCGCGTGTGAGAGATCTTCAGCTGGTCCGTCTTCAGAAGAGAAGGTAAGGGTGATGGATCTGGTACTTCGTGGTCATGTGACCTCCCTCTGTGGGGGGGTCAGAGTTCAGCATTTCCTCCTCCCAGCAGCCGCCCCATTATTGTTCCCGCTCTCTAATCTTCTCTTCTTGCCTCTCCTTCGCCCTCCAGGATCACAACAGTTCCGAGGAATCAGAATGTGATGACTTTGACCCCGGAGCCAGCATGGAGGTAGGGCAATTTGCCACTTTTTAAACAATGCGAGTTGACTGGCTGTCATGCTGATCCATCGGCTTTAGTACTTACACTGGACTTTGCTGGATGAAGAATGCAACCATTAATGTAAAAGGAAAGTCAGATATGTATGCCTGTTCCAGGTCAGTGTCTCAGGAAATATTGAAGCCATGCATGAGCCATACCCGGTGCCACTGGTGACCTGCAGAGCCATACCCGTTGCTACTGGTGACCTGCAGAGCCATACCCGTTGCTACTGGTGACCTGCAGAGCCATACCCGTTGCTACTGGTGACCTGCAGAGCCATACCCGTTGCTACTGGTGACCTGCAGAGCCATACCCGTTGCTACTGGTGACCTGCAGAGCCATACCCGTTGCTACTGGTGACCTGCAGAGCCATACCCGTTGCTACTGGTGACCTGCAGAGCCATACCCGTTGCTACTGGTGACCTGCAGAGCCATACCCGTTGCTACTGGTGACCTGCAGAGCCATACCCGTTGCTACTGGTGACCTGCAGAGCCATACCCGTTGCTACTGGTGACCTGCAGAGCCATACCCGTTGCTACTGGTGACCTGCAGAGCCATACCCGTTGCTACTGGTGACCTGCAGAGCCATACCCGTTGCTACTGGTGACCTGCAGAGCCATACCCGTTGCTACTGGTGACCTGCAGAGCCATACCCGTTGCTACTGGTGACCTGCAGAGCCATACCCGTTGCTACTGGTGACCTGCAGAGCCATACCCGTTGCTACTGGTGACCTGCAGAGCCATACCCGTTGCTACTGGTGACCTGCAGAGCCATACCCGTTGCTACTGGTGACCTGCAGAGCCATACCCGTTGCTACTGGTGACCTGCAGAGCCATACCCGTTGCTACTGGTGACCTGCAGAGCCATACCCGTTGCTACTGGTGACCTGCAGAGCCATACCCGTTGCTACTGGTGACCTGCAGAGCCATACCCGTTGCTACTGGTGACCTGCAGAGCCATACCCGTTGCTACTGGTGACCTGCAGAGCCATACCCGTTGCTACTGGTGACCTGCAGAGCCATACCCGTTGCTACTGGTGACCTGCAGAGCCATACCCGTTGCTACTGGTGACCTGCAGAGCCATACCCGTTGCTACTGGTGACCTGCAGAGCCATACCCGTTGCTACTGGTGACCTGCAGAGCCATACCCGTTGCTACTGGTGACCTGCAGAGCCATACCCGTTGCTACTGGTGACCTGCAGAGCCATACCCGTTGCTACTGGTGACCTGCAGAGCCATACCCGTTGCTACTGGTGACCTGCAGAGCCATACCCGTTGCTACTGGTGACCTGCAGAGCCATACCCGTTGCTACTGGTGACCTGCAGAGCCATACCCGTTGCTACTGGTGACCTGCAGAGCCATACCCGTTGCTACTGGTGACCTGCAGAGCCATACCCGTTGCTACTGGTGACCTGCAGAGCCATACCCGTTGCTACTGGTGACCTGCAGAGCCATACCCGTTGCTACTGGTGACCTGCAGAGCCATACCCGTTGCTACTGGTGACCTGCAGAGCCATACCCGATGCCACTGGGAACCTGCAGAGCCATCCCCGGTGCCACTGGTAGCCTGCCGAGCCATACCCGGTGCCACTGGTAGCCTGCCGAGCCATATACCCGGTGCCACTGGTAACCTGCAGCACCATACCTGGTGCTACTTTATCACATATGTATCCTGATCTGTGTATTCTAGGTGGCTGGGTATCTGTTGACCCCATTGCTGCACCACCCGTCATCCATTATTGGCAGAACACACCAAATCTTTCCCATATTTACTCCGATGTATTACATTTATTTTCCTGACAATTGGTGACTTTTCCAGCATTTTGAGAGACGTTCTAATCAGTAAACATATACGGTGAGCGGTGTGATGTCACCTCATCAGAGAGTCTGCGCTGGAAGGAATACATTCCACAAGTCTCTGGTTTAGGGCCTGCTCACACCATATGCAGTGCGTTCCGGCCGCAACGCACTGCATTGCATTGCGGCCGGCTCGGTATTTTGTGGGGGCGTGTCTGGTCATTGAAGTGAACGGCACCGTAGCGGCCGCAATGCGATCGCCCGCACGGGATCGCAAGGCACATTGTGTCTGCGGTCCGATCAAAATAGTGCTTGTAGCATTTTGATCGCACCGAAACCGCAGACACAATGTGCCTTGCGATCCCGTGCGGGCGATCGCATTGTGGCCGCTACGGTGCCGTTCACTTCAATGGCCAGACACGCCCCCACAAAATACCGAGCCGGCCGCAAGGCGATGCAGTGCGTTGTGGCCGGAACGCACTGCATATGGTGTGAACAGGCCCTTAGCAAATGTTTCTTTCCAGCATTAGATGAAGGATTTCCAAGTCCAAGAGCAATAATGTAGCTTACCGTTCTTGGATACGACGGCTGCATTGGTTTTCTTTTTTTTTCAGGCTAAGAACATTTTCAGCAACTACAGGAAATGATGGTTCTGGTCACTTCCTGTGAGCTGAACTGAAATCACAAACAATCTCATCTTCCTACTGTAAACTACTAATCACCTCATCCCAATCTAATTGAGATAAAAAGAAGAAGACATGTTTGGAGTCCATCCTGGGTGACAACCATGGCTCCCTCTATAGATACAGTACAGTGAGTGAGCGTAGCCACCTATGGACAGGAAGTGTGTTACTGGCGGGCTCACCAGGTGCAGTTAAGGAAACAAAGCCTTTCAAAAAGAAAATGAATCCAGCGACTGGAAGCTGCTATATATTCCACTTGTGTTTTTTGGGTTTATATGCAGCACCTCAAAACTGAACTCAGGGCATGAAAAGTTTCTTTTATAAATACTTTATTCCTCAATAGCCATCAAGGATATACATTCACATTGTGTGCACCGCATGCCTTTGCAAACCCAGATATTGGCTAGCAGCAGTACATAACACAAGCAGAGCTGTAGAAGGGACCCAGCAGGATCCCTCCCCCCTTGCATTCGTTATGTCTGTAATTCGGAATTCGGATACATCCGAATGTCCGAATTTACGAAAATTCGTCCGAATTTCGATTCGGAACGAAACGAATCGCACATGTCTATTACAGGAGGGGGCTGACACAAGACCAGTCACCCTGCCCAAGCGGAGAGAGCAGCAGTGACCGGTCTTTATTACAGGTGGGGGGCGGAGACAAGACCAGTCACCCTGCACAAGGAGAGAGAGCAGCAGTGAGCGGTCTTTATTACAGGAGGGGGCGGAGACAAGACCAGTCACCCTGCACAAGCAGAGAGAGCAGCAGTGAGCGGTCTTTATTACAGGAGGGGGCGGAGACAAGACCAGTCACCCTGCACAAGGAGAGAGAGCGGCAGTGAGCGGTCTTTATTACAGGAGGGGGCGGAGACAAGACCAGTCACCCTGCACAAGGAGAGAGAGCGGCAGTGAGCGGACTTTATTACAGGAGGGGGCGGAAACAATGATACTTTGATGATACTATTACTTGCTACCTTTAAACTCTCCTTCAATGCAAGTTACTATTCCTATGATCCAATATTATACAATGTAGACAGGTTTGGTTAAACATTGGACATCGATACGTTCTCAGTATAATCCTCTCCTGTGTTTATATTGATGATAAATCACTTATCATTGTCATTCCAATTCATTATCCAAGTATACAACTATCACTGACATTCGGTACAATTACCAAGCGCAGGTCCGGCTTCACTTATTTGTGTGTTTTTTTTTTTCCCCCAGTGATTCCTGCTGACATAATGAACGATATTTTGTATCCTGTATGTGTGATATTTGGCGGTGTGAAGATACTTTGTATATAATATTTGGTGTTATGTATAGCCAGTCCCCCAACACCCCGGAATATAGTTCCGGAGTTCCGGGCGGTAAGTTGCTTTCTACATTTAGTCCTGCTTTGCACAAGCCGGACTAAATGTAGTGTGGGGAAGCCGATTGTTTGTTTACCGAGATCACTTGTAATAAAACGGCAGCCGGTCCGTCCTCCTCCCTGAGCCACCATCCCCCCCACACCTACCTCTCTCTCCTCATTGGCTGCGTCTTCCGGGCTCCATTCTCCCCCTTGCCACCAAGTCTCTCTCTCCTCACTGGCGGCCGATGTGGAGAGCAGAGTGGCGGGGGTTAAAAGTAACCCCGCCGCTCCGTGTAGACAGTGAGAGGGGAGAGCCGTGCTGTGCCGTGCTGTGCTCTTCCCCTCTCAGCTGTCTTAGGAGTTCCAGCACAACGCTGTGCTGGAACTCCTGCCCTGGAGGTGACGGGTTCAATAAAGAGAACCTGTCACCTCCAAATGCTATCACGCAGGGACTTGTTAGCTAGCTCCTGTGTGATAGCAATAAAGTTAAGTGGAAAAACAAAATTAAAAAAAGAATTACATTTAAAAAAAAAAGTAATAGTAAGAAAAAAATATTAAATTAAAACAATAAAAAGGTGATTAAAAAGTAATAAATATCATGGCCCACTTGCCATGATAACCAGTTTATTGGCAGGCTCCTTCCCCATCGGGGCCCGGCTCCACCGCTTAGAAGGAGGACAGGAGCCTGACAATCAGCTTGTTACTATTCCCTGGAAGATATTTGTGGGGCCTACAGGGACAATGAGGGCATGCTGGAACTTGTAGTTTAATTAATTACGACATGTCCCAGCTGCTCTCATTTTACCTGTACACCCCCACATATCACTGGGGGGGGCGCAATATTTTGTTCTGCCCCAGGCGCCCGTTACTCTGGTTACGCCACTGTTTGTAGACATGTTGCAGCACTTGCTGTGTTCTATCTGAACACTAGATGGCGCTGCGACGCGTCTTCTGCTCCTCCTATAGATGACAATAATCATTATTTTCTGTATTATTTTCTTCTGACTTTCTTTCTGATTCAATTTTAGATCATGAATCCCAATTTCATCCAGGAGGGTGAGTGTTTCAGGTTTCAGGTTATTTTTTAGTAGTTTCATGAATGTATTATTTGTTAAAAGCTAACAGCCATTGAAGGAGTTAAAGGGAAAGTCGATCTAAATCATTTTATTTGGATAGGATGAGAAAGTGAGACTTAGATCCTCTTTCAGGTATTGTTTGTGGTCTGCGTTCCTCTTGGTGACCCCTCACTTCCTGTCTGGGAAACACTCCGCCGTCACTATGAACTCTACTTCACATTTTCCCGCTGTGTTCTCTACGTGTTGTCACATATATCGTGCAACAGAGGCCGCTGGCAATGAGCACCTGGACAGGAAGTGAGCTTCTAAAAATCTTTCCCACACATCCAAAACTACAAAGAAAGTTTGTCTGGAATTTGGTCTTTCACCGTCCCCGATAGTCGTTCACCTTTCTGCTAAAACCGTTATCTAAGGAGACGGCTCGCGTGTGTCGGGGCAAGTCTGCCGGCATCCTCCTCCTCCTGCTGCTGCCCATTGCCTGGCTGTCGGCTCTGAGCTGAAGACGGGAGGCCAGGAACATGGAAAAGAACCTGGAAGGAAGCTGATCTCTGGACTCCTGCGCTGGGTCTGCGTTGGGTCTGCGTTGGGTCTGCGTTGGGTCTGCGCTGAGTCTGCGCTGGGTCTGCGCTGGGTCTGCGCTGAGTCTGCGCTGGGTCTGCGCTGGGTCTGCGCTGGGTCTGCGCTGGGTCTGCGCTGGGTCTGCGTTGGGTCTGCGCTGGATTTGCGTTGGGTCTGCGCTGGATCTGCGTTGGGTCTGCGCTGGGTCTGCGCTGGGTCTGCGTTGGGTCTGCGCTGGGTCTGCGTTGGGTCTGTGCTGGGTGTGGAGCTCCATGTTTCCTATTCCAGTCTGGATAGTTCTTAGAACCTTCAGTAGAAGTGACCCACCTGCCCAGCAATGCAGCTCGTTCTGCTGAACGCCATGCTCACCCCTTGGGGCGAGATCTATCCCCGGGATTCATCCATCAGCGCTTCCCCTTATTGCAGATATTTAGGAATTATGGGACAGATGTCGCCTCATTGGGGTCTCGGGCTCGCTGCTCCTCACACATTGCACTACATGGTAGGGACGGTCCCGAGTACTGATCGATGTTTGTGGTCCTCACAGTGGCCCCGGAGTTCCTCCTGACTCTGGTAGACATCATATGTGTTGTCGGTGACACGGTGACCCTACACTGCAAGGTCTGCGGCCGACCGAAACCGCTCATCACGTGGAAGGGGCCGGATCAGAACATTCTGGATGGTGACAGCAGCACTTACATCATGACGGCCAGGTGAGTCCGGATCTGCGGGGTGTGCGTGTATTCGGCAGTGTTCCTCTCTTTTCATACGTGACCCCATAATGTCGGTCCTTCTCCCCCCCATACAGCGAGTCCGGCGACATTCGTCTGAAGATCTGTAATCTGATGCCCCAGGACAGCGGGATCTACACCTGTGTGGCGACCAATGAGCTGGGCTGCACCTCCACCTCCGCCACCATCAAAGTACAAGGTACCCGGGAGGACCAGGGGCAAGGGGGCAACTTAGCACAGATGATTCCGGGTCAGTACTGGGTGGAGGCGTCCAATCCCCCCCCCCATGGCCAGTCAGTGCTGCCTGTTATATGCCGTCTTCTCATATGAAATATTAATGAGGGGGCACTTTATTG